TATGACTGAAACAGGTAGTGAGCTCCTTGTATTTGGAACATTTAAGAAGAGATGTCTATAATATGACTAGAATGCAATCTTTTATTTTATTTATTTATTTTTTTTCCCCGCCGAAACCCAAATAATCCGAGTTTTAACATTGGAACATGGGCAGCAGAGAACATGCTCCATAAACTGTAATAGGAGTGGACATGACTGCAACAACATAAGCCTTAATAACTAGAGTGTCCTGAGCTGCTTCAGCACAGGAGTCACTCTGTTGACTTGTCAGGCTGAAAAAGTGGCTGCATGTTCATCTGGAGGGAAAGGAAGACGGGGCAGGAGGAAGAGAGAACGATGGTGAGAGCAGCTCTTCCTCTGAGTCACTGTTCTGTTTGCTGTCACAGAGTTTTTTAGTTTTTTTCCCCACATACCCCATCATTAAACCCCCCCCCCCAAAAAAAAACAACAATGCATGCAAAATGTGTTAATGTAGACAGAGCATTTACAATCCCTGTGTATATTTTTCTTACTAATAATCCTTTGGTCATAGCATGTAACTGAAAGTGAGACAATTTGTTTGCCTTCTTTATTTGTTCCTTTAAATCAAGGCTAAAAGCCGACCTCTGTAGCATTCCTTTCAACCGATCATCACTGGAACATTGGTTAATCAACGCACATCGGATATGTTGTGCACTGATGATTTTGATGATGGCACTCAATAAAATCTAATAATTGTTACTGGTTTCAACATTGGTAACTGTATGATGTTTTTATGACTTTTTCTTTTTGCATTTTATGAAACACTTTGAACTGCCTTGTTGCTGAAAAGTGCTGTACAATTAAACTTGATTGATTGATTGATTGATTGATTGATTGATTGATTGATTGATTGATTGATTGATTTGACCACTGCAGAGCTTTTTCTTGTTCAGAAATGCCCTAAGCATAAGCAACATTGAATTTCAGGCCAAATGTTAATAACTTACTAGCATTAAATACCACATATGACATTTCATAACAAATGAAAAACCGAGAAAGTTTGTAAAACAATGTCCCCAGATTTGATTGTTGCACAGGGATGTAATGGAAGTTGTTGAAGTAACAATTATTAGTTGTGGTCTTCAAAACCTGAAATTTATGGAAGTGTGGAGGAAGAAAACCACTGTTGAATCCAGTGATATGCATAACCTGACAGAGAAGATCACCAACAAGCTAAACACATTCTGGGTTTGGATTCTGGGTTCTTTGTGCATGGAGTTTGAATGTTCTCCCTGCACATGCGTGGGTTCTCTCTGGGGACTCCGGATTTCTCCCACAGTCCATACCATGAATTGTTCTAGGTGTGAGTGAGTGCATGTTTGTTTGTCTTTTGCTGCCAAGTGATGAACTGGTGACCTATGCCAGGCCTGTTGCCCAATGGTGGAATAATGATGGAATATTTCTGTTTCTAGATTTGTAGAGCTGGTATTAAAATGCTCCAAATGATGTGAAACCCTGTTTGCAGCAAAAGAAGACTCTGCACAGAGTTTTCTGAGAGAGGGCTCATGGAAATGCACACAACACTTTTCATTTCTTTTTTCTTTTCATGCTCTACTTTGTGATGGCCTATCAGATAATATTCCAATAAACTCCACTCGGTTCATAAAAACATATGCAGAAAAATTAAAACGTTCAGCCTGTGTAACATACTTTACAACTATCCTGTTGGCCCAGTGGTCCATCTCAGCCACAACCTCCAGGTTTTTCTTCTCCAAGCTTGAAACCAGATGAAAATGCATACGTTCAGCTGCATTAATTTATAATTTCAAAAGAACAACAGCTCAAAGCAGTTGCGTGTGGAACTGCTTTTCTATACGAGCCACTGCGTAAAATATACTTTTGAGGCACTTTCCATTAAAAAAAAAAAAAAGACAACAGCTCGACCCGGCCTCTTCAGCGTGTTTCTGCGCTCGCAGCGGACCGTTAGGCTACTATTTGAATTATACTGTCTTGTTTACTGTTTTCTGCACATGAGAGAACAAAAACAGCTCAAAGCAAAAAGAAAGTGTGTGCATAATAAGAGTGGAGCAGTGCAGGCACCACTAGTGTCACGTCTGCGCCCTGGTAGCATGAAGATAATGCTGGCTGCAGAGGGGGTGAAATCAGTGTGAAAATGAGTTCTGTGGTTTGGGTCTGCTAGTTGAAGAAGGTTTTAAATACAAGGCAGGGTCATAGAGCCTTCTTTTTATTAAAAAAAAAAAAGTACACTAAAACCAAGTGTTTTGTCATGAATAAATGACCTGCTGATCATACATAAATTTCTTTCAGGAGCCTGTGGTATTGGGTGTTGTGCTAAGAGTAGAATGGATATTTGTATTTAACGGCGACCAATTATTTCCTGCTTATAACAACTGTGTTTAAATAACAGATGCTTATCTGTGTGAATAATTTCTGACACACTTAATAAAGGGTTCCACTGATATAAATAAGAGCGACTGACCGAAGATATTTACAGGCACTTTAAAATCAAAACTAAAGACGGTTTGATAAACTTGAGGCCTTTGTGGAAAAGCTGTATTCGCAATGAGATTCAATTGTCAGAAGTGGACATTATTTTCTTATTAGGTGACTTCAGAAGGAAGATGACTGCACACATTTTTCCTTAGGAGTGTAAAAGTGGCGTGAAAGTGAATGTATTTAGATTTATATCTGTAAAACCTTGTTAGTTCACTTTAGCTAAACTGTGTTGGTACAATGATTAAAATTCCACGGTTTTCATTTAAAAAAAAAACATCAGCATAAATACTTGCTGTCCATATTGTGTTTTAATACATTTTAAAGACAAAAACAGTTGTTTAGATTACTTTTTTTTTAACCTGCAAACTTGGAAAGAAATGATATTTTCATACTCAGAGAGCCTGAGTTCAATCATGCGTCACCTCTCATTAATTTCTCTTTAATTCCCAGTTCATCCTTTAATTCCTCCTCTCTCCTTTCATCGGCACGCCTTGTCCTCTTGTACGCTGCCGAGAATGTTCCCTTATGCTCCGTACCGCCAGAGCAGGTGGCAAACCGCAGGTGAACCTCACACCTCCACTTGCGCTGGCGTCTCTTGCATACAGTCACACTCATGATGCCGCTGGGCTTACTAATTGGCTGTGGAAGATCTCACTGACCTCTTTGTGGCCTTCAAGTAGGACTCGTGTCCTTTGTTAGTGGTCATTTTGTGAGTGCGTAATTGACATTTCTCTCCACATCAACAGCTCGTGAGAGCATATTCAACATTTCGAAACGTGAAAAGCAATTTAGCTTTTCACATTTTGACTAATTAGAGATTTATGAAACAAATCGAATAAAGCCGGATCGTCTTGCAGACGTTACAAGGTTTCCTCACATACCATTGCTCACGTCTGCTCAGAGACGGCAGTTGTACATGAGTGTGTGTGAGCTGCTGCGGCTCAGCGGTGGAAACTTGCTAAGGGGGCGGCAGATGTGACACGACTGCTAAGTTTTCAAAATGGAAGAAAGGAACCCTGTTTGGTCGAGTCGATAACGTGCCACAAATAAGGGCAGCTAAGAGGACGTAGAAGGACGAAAGACAAATCCACTTTAGCTGGATTCAGTCTGGTAATCACCACCAGCGTCTTGTTGTTAGTTTCTGCTCTCCACTTCCATCGTGCTACCTATTTCTGAGCTGTGATTTTTTTTTTTTTGCAAACGCAAACAGCTTTGCGCCGGGAGTCCTTTTTGTGTGTTTTTTTAGGAAGTCATATTTCATATGTCTGCAATCTCTTGAATAATTCCATTTGTTCTACTTTGAGGATCGCCTCTGTTTTCTTTGGTTAGGGAATGCACCACTGTCTGCCCTTGGTATGCTGTTGGGGAAAGTCAGAAAAATGCATTTACACCCCAAACCTGGGCCGAGAGCAGTGTTTATGAAGGTCTTAACATTTGCACAAGGAAAAAGAAATATTTCAATTGTTCAGTGCACCAGAGAAAACAACTTCAAGTAACATTTTATTTTGTAGATCTTTATAATAATGTTAAAAAATAGCTTTGACTACAGCTTTGAGACATTCCCCATGAAGACAAAAATAAGAAATGAACAAAGTGAGAATCATATTTAATAGAAGAAAACCAGAATAAAATGAATACCATTTGATTTTTTTTTTTAATGTTTGCTTGAGTGCTTGGTCAAACCACAAATCCTCCCTCATCATAGCAGTGGTTAAGCAAAAATACCTGCCAGCCTCGAGTAACACATCTTTTGTACCTTACACGGTTCAGTGCTTGTCCCTGTGTGTGTGAAGGGGAGAAGATGAGCTGCTTTTGCTTTGTCCACAGTGACACTGGGACACTTGCTTGTTAATTTGAAAATCCTTTGAGGCAAAATGTTGTGTATATACAGTATGTAAGGAAACTTTATGCTGGCATTAAATCAAGATTAAGGCAACACGATGCGCTAATCAGGCACTTTTTCTATGCACTGACTTCAGATTTTTTAAAATTCTTTATTGAGGACTATGATGGAAACAAACTCACTCATGTTACCTTCCCAAAAAATTGGGAAAATAAGAGCTAAAGGGACTTACAAAATGATTATTAACTTACCAAAGTTAATGTTTCTTGCCTTAATTTGATTTTTACTAAACTCAAAACAAAATTCCTCAGAGATCATGTTCTCCGTTGACATATTTAAAGGCTGAAAAATGTCGATTTTCAGACAAGGGTCAGAGTTAATCAATGTAAAATGGACGTGTTTTGATCTGTGGTTGTTATCCGTTGCATATTTATGGAGGAGTATTATATTGTATTGTAATATTGTAAATTGTAATTTTCATTTATTTTTACCTTTAATACATTTTTGGGCCAGTTGACACCTATGAAACGATAGAGAAATAACAGAGAACAACTTCTAATCGAACTAATAGAACCGATAGCTATACATAGTGTTTAGTGGTGGATAAGTGGACTCACAATTGGCAAATAGGGCTATACATAAAAGTAAAAATAATCTTCTCTTTATGCTCTTTTTGCAGAAAAATCCACCTATGATGCCTCTGGCTCCCCACCGAGGAGCTCCGCATTCACAAGTCCTCATGTCCAACCAGTGGCTGAGGTGTCAGCGACGGGGGAGGTGCCTTTCCAAGTGGTCCACTCGGACAGCAACGCGGACGGAGAGGGTGAAGGTTTATCGGGACAGCCGGCTTTTTCCTCCATCCTAACTGTGATGGCAGGAACCGTCAGACATCCAGTGAGCCTTGATCAAAGTAGAACCTTGCCAACTATCAGCAAGGATGATACACTCACCACCCAATGGCCTTCACATAATTCCAGCCAAGATTCAGACACGTCCTCCTCATCATCGCCAGTCGGAGACGGCTTCAGAGCGCGCCCAGGTCTGATTTATAGCCGTTCTAAGACATACCCCTACATACCATGCTTCCAAGGCATTATGTGTCATTTATAGATGGAAAGCCGAACCTCTCATCATTTCAATTTTATCATTGACATCGATGTCGACCCAGCACCATCTCTCTTCTTTGTGCCGTCATTCTTGTTATCTGTATTTTTCCAGTCGTCTTCCACTGAGCAGATAAACAAAGCTCTTTCATCTCAGGGTCAGGGGAGTGCGTCCAACACAGCCTGCTTCTCAGATAGAGGTATCAACGTTATTACCTGCTGAGCCTCGGGCTTGGGGAGACAGCATTAGAACGGCAAAATCCACCACTTATAGGGTTGGTGACCTACAGTATATGTTGTTTAATGGGATACACAAAAACGCCACAAGCGAGTCATCAGTGTTCCCAAGCAAGCCCCGCAGAGAAGATAGCAATAAATTGACAAACAGTCATTTTGTCTTACTTGGGCCAGTGACCAGCACTTTTTATTCGACTCCAAACAATGGTCTGAATCATTTAGCTAATTTATGTGGACTCATTCAAAATCCGAACATAGGCCTGAACTCTGTATCTGCTGATAATCTTAAAAACAGCTCTCCAATTTCATCCAATCAAAGGAGTCATGCAGTTCAGAGGCAGCAGGGAGTTTCACATAATCCCACATCAGCACTGCTGTCTGCCAGTGCTAAAGGCTATTCACTTTCTAGTCATGTCACACAGCAGATGTTATACCGAACAGCCTTTATTAGGAATCAAGACAAGACTATAGCTGATAGTCACACTTTATCCTGCAGAAGCAGCAAAGCCATGTCATCAGTCATTTCACATTTTGGCAATCCAGCTGTGACACCAGCAACAGCCTTCACAACCAGCAAATTGTTTTTTGTTTTTTCTTCCCCTCCCAATCTTTATCGGATCGAAAGCCTCCCTCTCAAACCACAGCAGCCAAGCCGGCACAAACCCACGTTTCGGTGGCGTCCTCCTAAGAGGACGCATGATCTAACCCTGGTGATTTACTGGCGGCAGCAGGTCAACACAGTCCCAGACTTCCTGCTATCAATATAAATTACAACCGGGGAGAGATAGCGGGGGCTGAGCTGGGATCTGCTTACGTGCCATCTCACCTGAATAACTCACTTTCACTTACTCAGCTGAGACCTGAGCCCGCCAACGCTTTCGCCCCGTCCGCCTGGTCCACATCAAAGTCAGATGCACCGAGAGATGTTGAGGAATTTGTAACAATAACGGCACTTTCAAGGATGTAGCCCACACAGGCTGGACAGCTCTAACGATATTTACACCCAGCAAAAGGGCAAAATGAAAAAAAAAAATCTCTTTATGAGCAGAGAGGGGATGCAAGGAAAACAACCTATGTGACTGAACATTAAAGTGTTAAATGGCAATCTAGAAATCTGAATAAAACTCAATTCACTTGGACTCTATGCAGAGAGGGTGATTTTGGAGCAGACGTCCTCAAAACAAACTCCTAAAATAAAGTCCCTGTTGAGGATCCTGCTTTAACCTCAACTTCTAGAAGATCAGAGGAATAAGACGACTTCCAAGAAAGAAAACAAAATCACATAATGTCAGACAAGTCGCATAAAAACCAGTCTTCGAAAGACTTCCACCAAAGTACCAAAAGTATGTATGTTACTCCCCTTTTTTCCAATAGAAATGAAGAGTCTATGATGATCAGAGATTCAGCATTTTACAAGACAGGGCAGTTCACAGTCTTCTGTTTTTTATGACTTCAAAAGACACCTTGCTTTTTTTCTTCTTTTGTTTTACTAAAGACAGTAGCAGAAAGTCTTCTGCTAATTTGCCCTCACCTGAAAATTTTGATCGTGTGTTAAAACCTGTTGATTGAAAACCCTTCAATCGAATTCTATGCCAGTTATTTGTCTTGCTCTTTAGCAAAAACCCCTCCTGACACAAATGACACAAATTTTCTCTGCTGTGAGATCAATCACTAGCATGAGCAGAGAGGAATCAAATTCAATTTTGGGCCAGCAAAAAAAAACATTGCCTGAGCCCCTCCCTTTGCAGTAACTACCTCTTTTAGTGACAGACAGAACAGCGTGGAGACATCGAGGGCTATTTTCAGCTCTGGCAAAAAAAAACAAAAAACTAATGGCTCTGTATACCAAGTGGAAAGCCACCAAGCCAGTTCTGGTTCAAAGCAGTGCTTTTAAAGCTGGAAGCGCATCTAGCAGCTTTGACGGTGCTAAATCTAATTTAGCAGCAGATGGTTCATCACATGAACATCAAATACTGGAAGACAAACAAGAGCGTAATGTGCATTTATTGAATTTGGATGATTCAACAGCTGTCACCAGTAGTCCATTTCCAAAGTATCTGACCTTTGGAGAGCACACATTTTCTGCCTTTCCTCAAGGGACTTCAAAACTATAAGAACTAAAGTCCGGATTTGCCTTTGGCTCATCCTAGACCTGCCGTGTCTTCCAGTGGACTGCCGGAGTTATTATCGGAACTTCTGCTAAATCTGTCTGGAGTTCAGATGTGTCTCTACTCTTCTTTCCTATAACTACTAATTCTGAAATACTATCCCAAGCTACTCTTCTTGTATTGAGGTATAAGAGCATGAAGCCCCCATACTCAGTTTCCCCAAGTATGCATTTGACTCGTTTGTCACTTTTTCAAACATTACCTTTAATGCCGAACCAAAGAGGTCAGCTTTACAGTCTAACCCACTTCCTCCATTCTTATGCCAATCTCCATCATAGTCGATTGCTTTTCCATCACCTTCATTCTCTCTGTTGTCCTCCTCATACTTATAAAAAAAATCTCTTCAGTGTTTTTATTCAACTAACATATTCTCAACACCACCAAACTTACGCCCATCGAAAGTGTCATTCCTTTGGTTTTCACCAGCTTAGGTTCTGATCACTCACAACAAGTGACTGAGGCGTTTGTTCTTGCAGAGCCAGAGATGGATGATCTTACAGCTGGAACATCTAAATCAGTTGTGTCCACTTTCCCCAAAGAAAATGAGGTTAGTCTAAGCTCTTCTCAGTCAGACAGGGTGATCCTCTCTGCTGGGCCCATCGAGAACACATCTCAGGTATCACTGGTGACCCCGCAACACGATACCCCGACAGCCCCCGTGAAGCTCACCGCAACAACCGCGTCGCCGCCTAGGAAAACGCCCACCGCCACCACCATCACTACCACCACGCCTTCTGCGAAAGCAACGACGCCGTCGACCACCACGACCACTCTGCAGCCCAAACCCGTCACCAGAAGAACCACCACAACCATCAGGACTTATACCAGCAGAAGAACGTTCACGTCACCCAACCAAAGAGCGAACCCCCCGAGGGGGGTCACCGCCGTCTTCGTCTCGCCTTTCACCACGACCACAGAGGCTCCACAGCCACAGTGCAACATAACTGAGAGGTTATGGGTGAAAACAGGTGAACTCTGGAGAAAAAGAATCTCATTTCTCTGCCATGCTTTGTTTCCAAATTGACTTTTTTTTCTCTTTGTCTGTTTCAGTTGTTTCAATCTACGTAAGACGGAACAGGCTGGATAGCATTCAGAGGCAGAACTTGCGAAGGGGACTGAGTCAAGGCCTCAGAAAAGCTTTGAATGACACATCAGCCCAAGCACAGGTAAGAATGCTTATTCTACAGTGTGCAATATGACAATGTGTGCGTAGTTTTATATGTGTGTGTGTGTGTGTGTGTGTGTGAAAAAGTGTTTGGTGTTTGACTACAGACATTTAGAGATTTGTTACATTCACTGAAGTTGAAAGAATCTGCAGATCACACCAATAAATGATCAAACAACTCAAACACGATCACTGCGCATTATTGTGTGCTTACACCAGCCTCCTGTCTCCAAGGTCCTTTTTAGTTTTGGTGTTTGTCTATTAGGGACCTCCCTGACCTTCCTCATGCAAATGTAAAATGCCTGAGGTAGGGAGAGCAGCAGGAAGACCCCCCCACCCCACCCAGCCCTCCACGCACACTAAACAGCAGACAGAGCAACATCACTGATGTACATGACACTGATTAAGTCAGATTTAAAGGGGGGGGGGGGCAGCAGGGATGAAGGCGAGGTTAAACCGTGGCCTGTGGAGGAAGAAGCAAAGGTCAACAGGATGAAGCAGCTTTAAAAAAAAAAAGCTTTGGATGTGATTTACCAGATGTGTTCATAGAAAAGAAACGGCTCCCATGTAATGGCAATAGCAGGTTGGGAGTATTTAAATTTTTTGCAGAACTAAATCTACTTATGCTGATTTTTATTTTTTTTTTTCACTATTTGAGAAACTGTTGTTCAGTGAAGCATTGGTGAATCTTTCCTCATTTTACCCTTGCAAGAAAACTGGATGTGTGTGTAATCATACCAAGGACCCTGATGTAGGCTATTACAGAAGAGCTGAAGATTAATATAGAAATTAGGTTGACTGGCTCCCAGAAGACACAGTGGTGTCACAAATTTGAGTTACTGTACCAACATTGAAGATGATGTCGTTTATTTTTTTTATGGATGACCAGAGTCATGTCTTTATGAACCATCTGCAGCAATGTTGCTGTTATTGCAGCAACATTTTGCATGCATTGGATCTGGTTAAAAAGGAGGGGGAAAAAGAAAGTTTAAATGAAACCACTCAGTGTTTTCCCCAGTAAACAAATCCAGTGCATGCACAAAATGACCTTTGTGTTCGGATTAGCTTTTTGTGGAACGAATCATGTTTCCCAATGTGCCAAAAAGCATCCTATCTCCCCGCTCTCCTGCAGCCCTCGAAAACCTCCACTCCATGTGAATTTGTATTAAGAGCACCTCTTAACTATGCAAGGATATTACTGAACACAGCCAGATATATATATATATATATATATATATATATATATATATATATATATATATATATATTTTTTTTTTTTTGGAAAAAGCAGAGTTAAACTCGACAATGGGTTTAGTGTAGTTATTTCCTCCCTCCCCCTGTTTTACATTTTAAAAAAAAAATCTTGTGGATCAGTTGGATTCATTGTTTTTGTTTAATGCCAGTTTCCATATACAAACTCTCAGTGGAATATAATTACAGCAGCATAACTAAAGGGCATGGCTCAAGGAAAACAAACAAACAAACAAACAAACTTTCACTGTAAGCTTCAGGAAGGGGAAAAGGCCTATTCCTGAGAACTTGAGCTGGTATTCACAAGGACGGGACTCAAAAGCTAAAAACTCCCATCTCTTCTTATGCACAATCCTGGAACTACAAGTACTCTTATCACACGAATGCAAAGTTTCCAGTCTGGAAAATATTATGCAATTAATAATAACTATATTTATCAGGGGGACATTTTACATCCAGATTTTACAGGGAGCAAATTTAACGAAGCTAGAACTGCCAGGTAAAATCTCTTCAGGTAATTTATTTATCTGTTTGTCCTCTTGTGTCCAACGGAAACAAAACAGGCAGAGAAAAATAAAAAAAATGAAATAACAATGAAAAAATAATCATTCAAACATTCTTACTCACTGATCCTGTCAAGAGTGCTTGAACGATGCAATTTAACTACGTGCTCCATTTTTACTCCAAAGATTTTAAAATTTCAATTTGAAAAATAAACAGAGAAAACGAGAAAGATTTTCTCCACTACTAAATTTTAAGCAGTTTGTAGCAAATGTTAAAGTGCTTAAACAGTTGATTAATCTGGGGTCGTCCTGATTTGTTCAGCTCAATATTTAGTTTGTGTAAAAAAGGTTGAATACTTCAGGATGCAAGTAGTTCATACCAAACATTTTTGTCTGTCTTTACGCTAACAAACCAAAGTCACTGATTGTAAATGGAAATGTTTTACTGCAAGTTTGGGAATGTTTGGTTGGTAAAGGACACAAGTGACTCGCCAACATAACACCTTCCACTGTAAATAAAGTGGGAGTTTGCTTTTCTGTGGTGTTAAAAGCCTAAAGGCAACAACCTCAGTCCTATCTGAATATACAAGCAAATATCTGAAAGACATAATCAATACTTCCTTGAAATTGAACTATTAGACTGATTTAATTTAGAATCAAGGATATCAGTGTCATCGATTTTATCTATAGAGTGAGCTTTAATTTAGCTTATATTGTTTAATATTTCTGTAATAATGAAGTGCATTAAGTGTGAAAAACAATATCCCTCTGTCTGTAATAAGTTGCAGTTATTGTGGGCAGTGCTATACATTTTTTTTCTGTCTCTTTTTTATTTTTGCATTTCTTAACCCAGAAATAAGTGTTTCTGCCTCTACGTGGCTCCTGACTATGTGAAGCTCATGTTCTCCCTCAGTGTTTCTCGCTGGCCTTGAAAGGTGTTTTGCTTCAGTGCACTTTGGTCACCTATTTGAACAATGCATGTGTCTTTTATAGCAGCTGAAAGCTGGGGAAATTGCCTTTGCATTTAATTATAGACTAAAACGGTTGGGAGGAGGCAAATGTGCCAAGCTGATTCTATGACACAAGACTAAAGATTAAAAACATTTTGAAGAACTATTTTTTTAATGCCAATTTAAAGATCTACATGTTTTTTTTTTCTTTGCTAGTTGTTTTATTTTTCCATCTGTCTGTCCTACCCTTCACGACGGAAATAATAGGCTTGTTCCTAGTAGCACCTTCACATGGGTTGATCCTGAGAGGATGAAGGGATGATAAAGAGCTCTATTCATAGAGCTTGAAACAAGGCTGAATTGTGTGGAGGCAGAGTCGTAACTTTCAGCTACGGAGACAAGAGGCTCTCGGTGTTTTTGGCCTCTTCGTCAACGCGGGCTCATTGATGGGTTTCAATAGCAGATGTGAAGGGTTCTACCTCTCCTACGAAAACACCTAGTTCCATCGTCGCTCCCCATCCCAGCTTTTATGATGAGGAGAACGCAGGAAAAAGCCAAACTCTTCCTGATAAAACGCATCGAGGTTCTGTGTGTGTGTGTGTGTGTGTCGACGCACAAATGGAAAAGCAGACATTTATTTTTCAGCTCCAGCTTGAGCACTTAGACACCTGGTCTCATGACAAAAGCCATCTCTTAAAAGACTTGAGGAGTTAACAGTCTCCTTATCGTGATTCTTTTTTTGTTGCTCTTTGTCGTCCTCTCAGCAACCTCTCAGTTCTTGTGACATTTCTGTATCCACCGTCTTCTCCTCTGTGACTATCAGAATAGTTTTAAGAGACCTTGGTCTTTTTATTAGATTTTAACATTTTCAGATATCACAACTAACCGCTTTTACTAATTTAATTTGTCTTTATTTATTTATTTTTATTTGACTAGAGCTTGTATCACAGCAAAAAAAAAAAAAAAACAACAAAAAACTGATGTTTTGACACAATAGCATTTCCTACAACTCAAGTACTTCGTTACATTCTGGTGTAAAAACCCAAACCATTGCCCAGCAGTTGGTTAATTGGTGCTGTGGGAATGTGTCCATATTTACTCCACATCTCACGAGCTTGTAGTAAATATGGATATTTATGGGTAGGTATTAAAGAGCCCACTTGGATTTGATGGGGATGGAACACCTGGCTACACATTTTTATTCACACTGCAGTTAATACGCGAAAGGCTTGCTCGGATTGAGACGTCACAATTTTTCTTCGAAGAAGCACATTTAAAAACCGGTACATCACACATGAAAACCCTACAGATAACGCCAACACATTTTCAACTGAATGATGATAGATTTACTCAATGTACCTATTAGTGTATATCAGTGTGTGGCCTGATTTATTCTGTGTAGTCAAAAATGATAAATTACAACAGAAATGTTAGATCCCACACAGCCTGCAGGATTCTTTCATTTATGTTGTGAATAGAGGTACCAGCAGTTCTGTGGATAAACCGATTTGTACTGGCATTTGGTAACATTTAAGAGACTTGCATTTGATTTTTGTTCCCATTCTCTCTCTCAAATTATAGGCACATACGTTTAAGCGTAAAATTGGTATGTGATGTTTGGTCAGTATCCACAGTAAGCGAACAATGAAGCTGAAAACTGAGCCATTTTGCCACAACTGTGATTTTCCAACTCCATTTTATTTGTTGATGTTTTAGAATTAGCCTCTAAAACATCTGATAGCAGAATACAATGGCTCCTCAAACTGTTAACATTCAAAAATGATTTATTTGGTAATAAAAACACATCAAATATCACCACAAGAACAGCACGTCCACAGTAAGTGATGCATCATGACCTGGGGGTGTCTTTTCTTCAGATAGAGCTAAGGTTTTCAACCAGAATGGATGATGGTCTGAGTGGTTCAAAAATACCTGGCAAGTCTGCATTAACATGCTTTCACGTTTTGATAAAGTTTGAATGTATTCAGGTTTCGGTTCTAGTTGTTTTATTTTAATCTATGCAGGTTTTGGATCTGTACCCTTGTTAGTGTTTGGGTAAAATCATAGCAGTCTTTTTGTCCGTACAAATCTTCCCTTTGAGTTTTTATTACTTTACTGACGTGGCAAAAGAACTTCAGACAAATTCGATTTAATAATAGAGTATGTCTGCACCATAACAGTAAGAAAACGAATCCTCTAAAAGTGGGGATCACAGCCGTGCCTTCTACACTGCTAGCGCATTTTTAACTTAATTTTTTTATTATTTTTTTTTATTTTTAGTTCTTTTTAACTATTGAGCTGTTGTTCAAACCAATGAAGGGACATTTCATCAACTCATATTGCTTACATAAGTAGCTCTATGTAGAGCCATGAATTATGTCTGGTATATCTGGCATATCTCCTGTTTATATATATATATA